TAATAATCAATTAAATTTTTCGTTTCGATATTTTCTTTTGTATTTTACATAATTTTCTAATAGATATTATAATTTGAAAATTACTTACATAAATATAAAATATTTTCAATGAATTGAAAAACGTGTAACAGAAAACATTATAAAGTATAATACTAAATAGTCATTTATCAAAAATTATTTTCGATATTGATTGTGAATAAGAATTCATTTTTGTATTCACAATATATGTATGCCTAATTGAAATATTCCCCAGGCGGTAGAATTTCTGGACCAGTTCATTTGTTACAATAGAAAATCGTATTTTATTTTTCTAAATACATATTATTATTGAAAGTTAAGATTTCTTAGATAAAAGTTGTAAATTTACCACCTTCTTCCTATATATACATACATACACACAATGTAATGTAAACATAATGCCACGTTTTCAATATCAACAATGTTTAGTTGTTAAAAGGTATTAGTGGAGGGATTCCATATTGGTTTGTGTTAAATTAATTTAATAAATCACTCTTTAAATATACAAAAGAAAGTTGTTGATTTTAACTAATTTTGTTAACAAATAACTTTGACATGCCGAAAAATAAGCAAAAAAAAAAGAAAAAACGGCGAAGATAGGAAATGGTAATGTTTAATATTGTTCTCTTTTCTTTAAGTATTTATACTAGGATAAAATTAAATAAAAGAAAATAATATTTTAGCTAAAGACAGAAGAAGAAACACAAATAAGTAGAACCAAACAAGAGGACTTAAGAATAAAATTTAATATGGAAAAATGGCATTCGAGTCTTCTTTTATAATTTTATTAAATATTTCACTTTAATTATTTGATTTCCTTTTCTTTCGTTATAGACATTTACGAGTATAACATTTATTGTGTGGAAAATACAAAAAAAAAAAACTACAAAATAAAATGGGTGGTAGTGGCGCCATGTTTTTTTTTTTATGAAATTCATAAAAATTTTCGTAAAATCTGATATAACAAAAATTTTTTTTTTATCTTTTGTACATTCTGTCCCTTTCTGGTATATGATATTTCATTAGAAGCATTCATTGCTGGCTGCTAATTAATTTTGTGTAAGCGGAAAGTACATAAAAATGTCCTGCTTTGTATTTTTATCTTGATTTCAAAATCATTGAAAATATGAGCAAAAATTGTTAAGATTTGAATTTGTTGAATTTTTGACATTATAAGAATGATATTTAAAAATTACGCGTTCATTACATATGCAACTTACGTATACTATACTTGGAGTTCAATTTTAATAATTTAATGCCGTTTAGTTAATGCTAATTTACAAATCTCTAATTCTCTAGTACTACAGCCGTTTGATATTCCATTCATAACTCCTTATTCAGAAGTGCTATTGATCCCGTTTAGCTAATAATTAATTAATAACATAAAAATGGAATAATAAATAATGTGATAATAAATATATAAATAAGAAAAGGTGCTTGAACTTTAATATTACATATAAAAAAATACAACAATAACAATATATAGAATTAGATGTGGTTAACAAACTAAGTGATATTGCAGATTTATGTATTTGGAATCTGCAAAAAAATTATTTTTCATCCGGTCGCCATCGTATTATTTTCAAAATTACAATTCGTAGATTCATAGATTGGCAGAGGTCGTCCTCAGACCAGCTCACTGCAGGCATAAAAACTTATTGTAACATTTAAACTTTTATAAATCACCCGTGAAGCCTATAATTCTCATCTGTTTGCCACCTCATCTGCACTTGTTCGAAAGTGCCACCTCATATCCCCTAAGGAATATGAGGTGGCACCCCCTTCTGGCCAATGCTTCACAAAACCCTCGAATGTGTTCAGCCGTCTTCATCATTATGTTAAAATCAGATTGTCCCAATTTTTGCAAGCGGTAAATCAGTCTGCAATGTCCAGTGGCCTCCCCACTTGTGCCAACGCGGTCTATTGGACGGTGGACCTGGAAAGAATAGCTGGGCCTGCCTCATTTCCGGTACCAGATCCCAACACTTCCGCTGGTGGTACCTCATCCGCTCACAGTAAGATTTGGGACCAACAAAAAACATCGTCACTCGCGACCTCGCAGAAGCATCCACCTTTTCTTTGCTAAAATATCCAAGATAAAAATAATAACCTTACTTCCGCTACCAAATTTCACTGGCGCCTGTAGACCATTTCATACCTTATTCAAATCGGCGCCTGAATATTCGAAAAAATGTTAGTGGTTTTGTTATACGAATGTTTTCCTGTAATGCGCTTTTCGAACGGAAATCCGTTGCAGAACGGCCCAAATTCCTGAAAATCCAACGTACGGTCTCAACCTAAAGAGACTTGATTCAACTCATTCTCTAGTTTTAGATCCGTCCGTGTACCATTCCATCTCCGTCCATCCTTGCCTTTTTTTCTTTCAGCCTTCATTACTGGGAAATACCAACTTGATAGGCTTGTCAAGGTTAAATCTTAGCTCACACTCTTCCAAGGGTACACCAATATAGTCCGAATATGTTAATGCCTCCGTCATGGCGGGATAGTATGTTATATTTCATTCGTATACATATTTAAAAGATATTGTAGACTGAAGTTCATTTCAAATATTAGTGAAAAATATATATTGGAGAGTAAGAATTTCCAGAATTTTTTATTTATGTCCATTTAGCAAGTGGAATAGATAAAGTATAGATAAAGATTCATAACAGTTTAATTTCTGTCATGCTACAAAAATGTAAATTTAAATATTTCATAGAAATAAAACTCTTATTGGTAATGAATAATTTTTTTAATCCTCTTCTAAATTTTTTCTATATGAATGACTGAATAAAAAAAAAACCTAATTCAGCTACTCAGTTTTTCCGTTTTCAAAGGTCCTATGCTACCTACCAATATTACCTTAAATAATAACATAAAATATTGAAAACCTTTTTTCATATATCTTTAATTTTTACTAAATCCATTAAAATCAATGTATGAATAGCAATATTTTGGAAAAAGGACCGAGACCGGATTGGTAATAAAATGATACATGAGGTATACATAATGTATGTACATAATAATAATATATAGAATGGTCTATTGATTTGTAATTAGTTGACTTAATTCTAAACTGGTGACAAAAAGATTAGGACTAAAATTTATTTATGAATGTAAGAATACTCTTTTTTTATTTAAAAAATTTTTACCCGTGTTAACACATGCTTAGACACAATCAATTGAATATATCTACGTACAAATATATATACATATATGCATACGTGCATAAGAGTGTATATGATTGTATGGGTTCGTTGATTATATCATTATGAAGTTTTAGAAATAAAGATAAAAAAAGTTTTAGTAAGTACATATGGACATAAAAAAAGGATTAAAAAGGATGCCTATAAAAAATGGAAAATATTTTCATGTTCTCTGGTTAATGATATAAAAGAAAATGGATTTTACAAAGTATTCATCCCGTACTTACACCATATTTAATAGAGAATAATGTTACCCTTCAAATTGATTTTAATGACTTGATTAACTTTGATACAAGTATTGATTTTGAAAATATTGCATACTCTTTTTTGTATTTTAATGGTAACTCAGATTTTAAAAGAAATCGTTCATTTGAATTATATGTAAGTGTATATGCACATACATATGTACATGTAAAATTTGTGATCACAAAAATAACCGGGCAAATTTGCACTTGGTGCTACAAATTGAAATTCTTTTATGTTAAAAGCCTTTGTGAGATCATTTAATGTGTTTATTAAGTAGGTATGTAAAGCCTTGACCTCTACACGAATTTCATGTGAGGATAAATTGAATTTTATGTCTATTTAAAGTCACATTTCATACGATATTGTTTGTATGTTTGAATGACGGATTCATTTTACTAATACTAAAGAATAGGGGAATAAACAACCGGATTGTTTAAGTTAAGCAATAAAATGGAATATGTTGGACAATGTTTTTATTTAAATAACTTTTTAATATGATTGCTTTCACGTACAAATATGTAGATACACACATACGCTTTAGTTTTTGTTGTTTGAACGGGATTTTCCCAGTTAATTTTTAAATTTATGTATGTACATGCATAAATAAATTTTTATTACGCAGCACCGTCATTGTATAGCGCTGCCTTACATGATTGCACATTCATATGTATGTATAATGCTCACATAAGTCTATTTATAAAATATGTATTTATATATGTAGCTACTTATATTCATATAGTTTGTTTATTGGCGAAAATTTATTTCTTTTAAAATGAGATCAACGCTATACTTATTTTAATTTTTACCTAAAAATTGGGTGTTGTGTTAGTGCAGAACTATACACATGAAATTATGACTTCTTATTTTTTATTAATGTAAACTTCCTCGTGCTCGTGTCTCATTAAATTCGAATTGGGGATTACCCATTCTCTTCTTGGAGCTTTCGTTAACATTTATTGTACTCATATTCACAATATTATGTTTTTTTGCATATGTAGTTATTATAAATAAATTTGAGCATTGTAGTACTTTAAAAAATTGGTTGCTTGTCAATTAAATTATTGAATATGTTCATAAATAATCAGAAACAATAATAAAAATAAATTTTATTTGGAAGCTTTTATTCTTTTGAAGCAAATTAAAAATTAGAAGACGTAATTAGAAATTTTTCTCATTAATTTGCGGCAACACTTTTCAACAGATTTCATTTTAATACAAAAAGCTTGTTGTCTTGTTCTTAAATATATCTGAAAAGCTTTGAAAAAATTAGTGTTTACTGAATCGTTCAACTGTGTGATTGTAGAAAATAAAATATAACAAATTTGGAATTGATATTTTTAATCATAGTTAATAAAAAACTTTTTGTTATTTATTTTTAAATAATGTTGCTTCGTAATTAAGTTGAACTTTATTAAAATTTACTCATATAGCTGTTGAAAATAGAATTGGCTTATTTTCTAAAAGCTTCTATGTAGTTAGCACTGATCTGGAGATTTCGATTCTTCATCTAATTTTACGATAAATATTATAATGGACAACAACCAGATATACGAAATGGAAGAATATACGTCTTCTATTGGCGGTGGTCATCACGGAAATATTTACAAAATAAAAATATTAACATACTTAGCTGTAACAAGTTTAAACAAAAAATTTTCGGAATTAAAAATAAAAAAGCAAATTAAAAAAGAATCTGATCTAGTTTGGATAGAATGTAAGGAAAATGGCCTGGAAAACCGAAGATCATTTATGTTGCAGTCAAGTCATAGGTCGAAAACAGAGAATTGTTTGATATCAGAAAATGACTTACTTTCGAAATATTTTAAAAGTTATGCAAAATCAGTTAAAAATTTTGAATTAAATAATATTGATGCTATTTATATAATAACGAATGGTTATTTTGATGCAGATCTCGAAAATAAAAACTTTTTTGTAAGAAGACCACAAAGGAATTTTTTTCCTTTTGGTGAAGCCTATGAGCAAAATCAAAGCAATGAAGCTTATATCGAAAATTTGGATAAATATGCAACCGAAACGCTAAACGATTCTAATTGCGATTGCAGAAAATTTATAGAAAAATATGTTTTCATAATAAATGCTCCGACAGAGGACGAATTAGACCAAATTATATTGAAGGAAATTGAACATAACACAAATTTAAATATTCTTGATTTGATTCCATTTCGAGAATGTTTTTTTAAGTTTGTTAGTGACTTAGTTTATCTTGAAATAGAAATTAATTTAACTTTAGAAATGATCGAAGAATTTTATGTAGAAAAGAAATTAAAATTCGATATGTCGAGGAAAATTGAAAATCTAAATTTTGGAATTAAATTTTCTGATGATGACACATTCATATCTGAATTTAAAGTTTTATTAAAAAGTACCACTATAAATAAAATTTGTATAAAAACTAGCTATGTTTCAATTACAAAGCATAAAATTTGGCAGTGTATTCCAGAAGCATTAAAATTAAGAGAAAAGATCATATTAATAAATCAAGAAGAACTAAAGTCATGTAGAGCGATTAATATTGTAAAAAGACACTTACTTGATCCCGATACAATAACAATAATAGATTTATATTCTGAAGAAGGATATGAAATACTGAAGGCAGCTATTGATATAAGTTTTGATTTACAAAGCAAATTGGTTTTGATATCAACGGCAAAACTGCGAACTACTATGACTTCAATTTCGGATAATTTTTGTTTTAAACATTTGGAAGAAAATTCAAAAAATGCAGTAATCGACCGAAAAATGTATTTTATGCATAACTATGTAAATTTAAAGGATTTATTTAAAAATGATAGCCTTATTTATGAAAACGATGAAGTATTGACTGCGGATACATTAAATTTTATATTAAGTTCTGCAAACCAAGAAAGTTCAGTAACTGAAAATTTTACAAACGAAATCTATATGAAAAGACGACTTACTCTTGAAAATACTTACAGCAAGGAAAGTATTTTAATCAGAGAATGTGATATTGTGAATCAATTTTTACACCGTGATACTACAATTTTAATAACAGGTTCAATGGGGATGGGCAAATCACTATTGCTTAAAAATATTGAAAAAGAAATTCAAATTCTTAATAAGAAAAATGAAAATTTTAAAATCGTAGCCCGAATTGATTTAATCAAAACTCAAAATGAAGTGTTGGATACCTTCAAAAACTGTGAGCTTACAAATAGTAAGACATTCGAATTGCTAACGAATTTATTTACGTTTGGAATAAATTCTTTTAATTTGAAATTCATTAGAAATGTGATAATGTATCATATTCGCAATGCTAAACCTATACTATTGCTAGATGGTTTGGATGAGATAATGCCATTATACACCAATTTGATATTAACATTTATACGCAACACAGTAACTTTCTTTAATAATGTAACATTGATTTTGGCATCACGCCCTTTGACTGAAATAGATTTGGGCCAGTATGAAATCAATAAAGTTCTTAAGTTGCAAAGTGTATCAGATGAAGAACAAATTAATTATTTAACCGAATATTGCATCAGAAATATACCATATTTTCCATGCTATTTAGAACATCGAAATTTAACGGAACTCTCTTCTTTTCTAATAAAGAGAAAATTTAAATTTGAATTCGAAAGCAGTGTCACCAGTACACCACTATTACTACATGTACTTGCTAGAGAGCTAAAAACTAAAATAGAAAATATTGACCAAATGAATGACAACTACATGACTGATGGTTTAATACCTAGTGCAGACAGAATAATAAATCAGATAAAGAAAAATTTCAACTTGACTGAAATATATGATAAATTCGTTGAATTTCAAATTGATTATTATTATGAGAAGAAACTTGGTTTGAATATTCTTGTTAATCCTTATCTCAGTAATAAAGCACACTTTCAAAGAAAATTTTTTAACGATCATCAAGCGCTGGCACTGTCAAAAGTTTTTTCGCAAGAGGATTTAGAATTTATTGGAATTTTCTATGATATTCAATCTAAGTTAAACAATTTTTTCAAAAGGTGTTCATCTTACGAAGAAAAATACGGTGTTGTTAAAATAAACGAACAGCAGAACAAAACCGAACTAGTTTTTATCCACTCATCTTACGTTGAGTACTTTGTTGCAAAATATTTTTGTAGCAGTCTGAGAAGAAATTTCGTCGGAAGTACGTTAGTTAGAAATTTTCTTTTGAGTGATATTTTGGTTCGACCTTGCTTAAAAACTGTTAGAACATTTTGTGATGAGTGGTTTAAAATGCAGTCTATTACAGAATTGTCAGTACTGGAAAATTTATTGAATAGTAGATTTGGTACTGGAGACTTTATCCAGGTAAGATAATTAGAATTTTTGTTCCTTATTAATTGTATTTTATTGCTCTTAAACTTTTTGAGCAATAAAACTGAAACGGTTTTTAGTATTTTTATAAAGAAATAAATTTCTACAAAATATTTTAAGTTTATAAATAATTTGTCTGTCCAATAGGATTATTTTTTAAATTTCTTATTTACAAATATTTATATTTAATTTTTAAACTACGTTCAAGCATTATTTATGATATACTTTCATTACCAGGCATTTACAGATCTTCTTAAGAATTTATTGAAAGATCTTCATTTCCATATTTGTATTTACTTAATATTTTATTTAAACCAAGAAATCCGGACGAATGTGATACATTCTACAGTAGATGATAATAAGAATACACTTTTACACTATGCCGCAGAATATGATGTGAAAAATTTAGCCGAACACTTAGTAGAATATGGTGTTGATGTAAATTTAAAGAATAAATATGGACTTTCAAGCGTACATGTTGCACTAAAGAAGCAACATTTTGAAATCGCTAAATTAATTGAAAGAAGCAATTATTTAAAAAATTTGGAATTTTGTAAATTAAAACACTTTCTATATCGAATATTTTTTATTCAAAGCGATTATAATATCTGCGGTTCTGAAAGTAATAGTGATACAGAAAGTGATACCGAATCGGAAAGTGATGTTTATGATTATTTTGAGTTTAAAACTAACAGTTTAAAAAATTGTATGCGAGATAAATTTTACATTACTGAATCTCACGTAGATTTTACTTACGAAGTTTTTACTAATTTTCACATTAAAATATCGAAATGTGATTCAATTATCATTTATGATGAATTTTGTAAAAATGCTCTTATAGCAGCAGCTTATTATGGGAATGTGAGAATTTTGAATGACTTATTGAAATCCAAACTATGTGAAAAGAACGATAAAGATTCAATTAAAAAATCATTATTAGAAGCTGCAATTTGTGGACATTTGGAGGTTATCAAAATATTATGGTGTCAATTTGAAAATATAAATGATATTCGAAATAATGTGGGAGATTCAATTCTAGTTTTAGCATGTAAATTTAATAACTCTGAAATTGTGAAATATTTATTATACGAAAAAAATGTAGAACTCGATATACCAAATTACGCCGGTGAAACATCTTTAATAGTAAGCGTAAAATACGGTTACTCAAAATTAGTTAAAATTCTAATTGAGAAAGGGGCAAATGTCAATGCTCAAGACAATTTAGGAAATTCATCATTAATTATTGCTTCAAAAGAAAACTGTTCAGGAATTTTGAAAAATCTGTTACAGCATGGGGCAGATAAAAGTTTGCAAAATGACTTTGGTGAAACAGCGTTATTTTTAGCAACAGAAAATGGGTATACTGAGTGTATTGAAATTTTATTAAAGTTTTGATTATTAATTTAATTTAATAAAAATAAGACATATTGTTTGTTCCTTTTTAATTTCACTTTTTAATTGTATAGATTAAATATTTTTGCCTTATGGCAAACACGTCTTAAAATTGTACTCTTTGACGCGTTAAAAAAAAATCATTTTACGATATTATTTTTTTTTAATTATACCGTTCATTCAAAATAATTATTTCAATATTTCTCACCTATATCTCATCTATGTATTTTATCGTAAACTAAAAGCTTTTGCTGTTTCTTTTTAGCTTTTGCTATCAAACTGAAAAAGCTTTCAATTAAGAAAAAACTATTTTTGACATTTTTCGTTTTTGGTATTTTATATCAAATACAGTGCTGCTAATTTTTTTCAAAGTAGTACACGTTATATGTTTTTCTAAGTACTATATATTTTTACTTATAAAAACTTGAAAAGGTCAATATACGTTTTCTTGTCAATTTTTATTGATTATTTTATGTAAAATTGGCTTATATCAAATTTAGTCAAAAGATCGAAAGTTATCTGAAATCAGCTTTAAACACAAATCAAAAATGTTTTTACAAAGTTTTGTTACGCTTCTTTTGAAAAACGGTAAGTCTAACAAATCAGGGGATCGTTTTTGACATATGAGTAAATAATGAAACATTATTTACTCAGTTTGCTTTTTTACATTGATAAGAGATTTCTCTTTTTAATTTCTGTAATTTTTACTTTAGTATTAGGAATATAAAAGTAATTATAATATTAAAATATTAGTAAAGATTTTTTTGTCCGCTAGTGAAATTGTTGCTTTATATTGAACTATAACAATACTTCATTGTATAGTTTATAAAATATCAAATTCAGAAATGTAAATAACAAAGAAAGACTTTTTGTTATTACACATACGCCGGTGTATTTACAATTCATGAATACGAACCTAAAATTTATTTTTGAAAAATTTTGTTTTTTCAAATTAAATATCAAAAGATTGTTATAATATTAATAAAAATGGAAGAATCCAAAGACTCAAAAGGAAGTAAGCAATACTACTATGCTATTGGAACTGGTCATCATGGAAATTTATACCAAATTAAATTTTTAATGTATTCAACATTGATTGCTGATAATAAAGGTTATCGAAAATTTAAGATATCAACAGAAAGATCAGAGTTCGGTAAATTTGATGACATCGCAATTGAATATTCAACTGATTCAAATATATGTGACCGCTTAATACTAATGCAAGCAAAGCACATACAAAATCCTAAGCAGAATTTGTTAACTAAAGCTATTATGGCAAACCCCAAAGATGAGAAAGGAAACTACAAAAAAAAAATTTCGCCGTTTTGCATTTTTATTTATTTTGAATCATATATAAAATTTTACAACAATGAAAAATATGGAAACATCATAGATAAAATAGACGGTATTTATATTTTAACAAATACTTGGTTTCAAAAAAATGTCCATGAATATTTTACTCCAAACAACTCCAAAAAATATTTTGATTTTGGTGAAGCATACGAACTTAATGACGAGGCTATTAAGTTGCTGAAGAAGCTTTTTGAGCTAAGCAGTGACCTGAAAGCGAGTCCTAGTGATTACGAACAGTTTCAGAAAAAATTTGTGTTTATAGTTAAAACACCAAGTGAAGCTGAACTTGATAATTACATTGAAGAAGAAATAAAAAATAATTTACAGATAAACTATTCCGAGTTAAAAGTTTTTAGTACAAACTTTTTTTATTTTGTCAGTGATATGTTCTGTCAAGAGAAAAAAACTTATTTAACTTTTAACAAAATTAAAGAACTCTATATTTATTTTAAATTAAAACTATCTACGTTGAATAAGTTTAAGAAACATGACTACAGAATTCAGTTTTCTTCAGATCATCAATTGGTTTCTGATCTAACGAAAATTTTTGAAAGCAATGATGTCCGTAAGATTTTTATCAAAACTTCTAATTTCTCTATAACGAAGTATGGAATATGGCAGTGCATTCCGGAAAAATATAAATTAAATGAAAAAATAATTCTAGTAACTGAAAGAGATATTAAATCGGAAAATTTATTTAAAGTTATTGCAAAAAACTTTGATCTTCCTTATACAATAACTATAATTGAGTCTATGAATAAAGATGAAGAAAATATGAAAATGAAGTGGATTACAGAAGCTGAAGGCCATCCAACTAGTAAATTAATACTAATCTCAACTTTTAAACTATCGGGTGCAAAAAATTTGATATATGATGATTTTAGTTTTTTAAGCTTGGATGAAAATTCCAAAAACCGAGTTCTCAACTTTAAAATAGAGTTTTTGCATGAAGAAATGACTTTGAAAGAAATATTTCAAAATTATAATACTATTATAAATGATGATAAGTGGCTACCCTGTGATACACTTAACGTTATTCTTGATTTAATGCGCAAAGAAAACAATGGCGAAAAAGTGAAACGTTTTTCTATATTGAAAAATTATCCAAAAACGTGTAAGGATTGTTTATACATTAAGAGGAAATTGATTTTAAAAGATACTACTAAGCTGAACAAGATTGAAAATAATGAAGATTTAATCGTTCCTGAAGAAAGCATTTTTAATTACTTTTCAAATTTTGACAATATAATTATAGTGACAGCGATAATGGGAATGGGAAAATCATTACTTCTTGAAAGTATTGAAGAAGAATTTAAAAGGAAATGTAAAATTGATAGAACATTTGATTTAGTAGCACGAATCGATTTGCTTAGATTCCAAAATAAAGTTTTTGATAACTTTAGATCCATTACATTTACTAAAGAAAAAACATTTGAATTCTTATTGGAGTGTTTTGCTTTTGGGACGACAACTCCCCATTTGGAATTTGTTAAAAATGTAATAGAATATCATCTTTATAAAGGGAACCCGCTTTTATTGATTGATGGTTTCGATGAGGTGGCGCCAATATATACAGAGTTAATAATGAATTTTATTAACAGTATTCGAAGAAATTTTCGTAACGTTAGATTAATTATTGCTTCTCGTCCGAATATTGAGAAAGATTTTATAAAACATAAATTTCAACACTTTTTTAATATAAAAAATTTCTCAGAAGACCAACAAATTAATTACTTAATGAAAAGTTGGGGAATGAACGTAATATTAAGCAAACACATACCGCAGGAGATTTTAAGAAAGCTTGCTGTTCATCTAGTAAAATTCAAATTAATATCTAAATCTAAAAATAAAATTACCGGAATACCATTACTTATTTATATGTTTTCACATATTTACGAAAGTAAGATGCTGAAATACATTAAGAATTTAAATGTATTTTCTGATCGCCATCTGATAAATATTGAAAGCGAATTCGAGGATCTGTTTATGAAAGATGTAAAAGAGGATTTCAATTTGATTGTCCTCTATGATCAGTTTATGGAGAACCAAATTGAATACCACTACAAAGAGAAAGAGCTGTATGATGTGAAAGGAAATCTTTATTTTTCTGGAAAGAAAAGTTTTTACAAGGAATTTTTTGAGGATCACGAAGCTCTTGCGTTACTGACGGTATTTTCAAAATCTGACCTAAAACAAATGGGTATTTTTGAAATGATTACAGAAAGATGCCAATATTTAATCAAAAGGATTTCAAAAGATGAGCATAAATTTGGCATTATAAGATTTCTTCAAAATAAAGAAGATTTGTATTTTATGCATTTATCGTATGCAGAATATTTTGTTGCGAAATTTCTTTGCAAATCATTACAGCGTAATATAGATTCTACGGCATTAATTACCAAATTTTTCATTACAACTGTTCTCGGATCTCCTTTTCTTATGTCAGTAACAGCATTTTGCGATGAATGGTTAAAAATTCATTCAATTTTGGAAATTCGATCTTTCGCAATTTTAAAAAATTCAACAACTTTTATGGACGAAATATTGGTAAGATACCTATAAAAGTTTTCATTTTGGCAATGAATTTATATTATATTTCCAGTATTTTCAAAAGAAAACCTAAGCTTCATTTCTGTTTAAATTTTCTCGGTGAATTTTTATGAGCGACTGACTCTTTTGGAATTATTATCAGTAATTGAAGTTTTTGTGTTTAATAGCGTATATTTTATAATATAATAATTTAGTTTAGGCGGGAATGCCTGGTAATACAAAATATCGTATTTTGAACCTCAGCCTTACAACATTAAATTATATTATTTTGATTATAAAATGTTTTTATATCGCAACGTTACTTTTATGTACGGCGCAGTCTATATTACAGTTTCTCAAATTGTTTATATCTAATTATATATAATACTAAGTATTTTTTTAATTTAACAGGAGGAACAAGCAGATAACCTAAACAATTACCACGCAGAAGCTCTCGAGTATTGTATAAAAGGCCTTGTGCGCCTATTTCAATTCAATATTGCTGCATGTTTATTATATTATTTAAATCACGAGATACGGGCGGCAATTGTCAATCGCAACATAGATGAACACGAAAATAAAATTTTGCATTATGCAGCTGAACACAATGAAACAGTTTTAGTAGAGAATTTAATTGAATATGGTGCAGATATCAGCATGAAAAATGTTTGGGGCTCATCTTGCTTATACATAGCACTAAAGAATAGAAATTTTGAAATTGCAAAACTAGTTGAAAAATGTTATACTATAGGGAATACAAAAATTCTTGAGTTCAAAACCTTTTTGTATGAAACAGTAATTAGAACCCAATGCGATAAAGTTCTTCTTGAAAGTAGCGATGTTGATATGGTTGAAGCTTTCACTAGTAATGATCATGAGAGCCAGATTCATGAAATTGAAAGACATTCTGGCGAAACTATTGAAAGCTACATCACACTTAAAAATTTAAATGTGGCGTGTGAATTATTTGATAAATTAATTACCAAAATATCACAAATGGAATCATCAAATTATGAAAGTTTTTGTATCAACTCATTTATAATGGCGTCTAGGTATGGAAATAGTAAAATTTTAAATTATTTATTAAAACTAAAATTGCACAATAAAAAAGCTATTGAAATATCGTTGCTAGAAGCTGCAATATACGGGCATTTACATATTTTGAAAATTTTACTCAATGAAGTAGAAAATGTAAATGAAATTCGAAATAATAAGGGCAATTCACTTTTGAGTTTAGCATGTCAATTTAACTATTGTGAAATTGTGGAATATTTGTTAAATAATGTACATATAGAAGTTGATTTAAAAAACAATAACAACGAAACAGCTCTTATGCTGAGCGCAAAATATGGCTACTGTAGATTTGTGAACAATTTAATTGAAAAAGGTGCAAATATCAACGCACAAGACAAGCATGGAAACTCAGCATTAATTATTGCGTCAAAAGAAAATTATCCAGATATTCTAGAAATTCTTTTACGACATGGAGCACTTAAAGACTTACAAAATCTCTACAGTGAAACAGCACTGTTCTTAGCTACAGAGTGTGGGCATTCTGACTGTGTTGAAGTTCTATTGAGATATGCGGCAGACTCTAGCATAGAAAATAAATTTGATGAAACTGCTCTTTTTGTCGCAATTATTCGTGGAGTTCACGAAAGAGCAATTTACAAAAGGAATACTAGTATTGATGTTGATAACATAAATTTTAATGACATGCAAATTTACAAATTTTACCATAATGATGCTTATCAAGCTCCCCATACTTATGATCATCTCAAATTTCCATTTTCGAATAATCGAAACGATCATAGAAAAATTTTAGATTTACTAGTTACACACAATGCCAGCATTTCATTTAAAAAGGTTAGAACATCACTATTTACAGCTGCAGAAAAAGGGTTCTTTAATGTTGTTAAACTCTTTATTGATCAACAGCTTAACATTGATGTAGAAGATTTTGGTTTAACAGCTCTTCAAATAGCAACGCGAAGGGGTTGGTATGATATATGCAAAATTTTATTGGAAGCTGGCGCTCGAATTGAAGTATATAAAAATAGCGCACTCTGCGAAGCTGCAAATTACAATAGACTTGATATTGCAAAATTGCTAATTGCAAAAGGAGCTAGAATAGACTTTCGTGATTCGTATAAAGATACACCATTAACACAAGCAAGTCGATATAACTATACAGATCTAGCAAAGCTGCTTTTAGAAAATGGAGCTGATCCTAACGCTCAAAATATGTATAAAGAAACCCCATTAAGTTACGCCGCATCAAACTCTAATATAGAAATTTTTAATGCATTGTTTGAAAGTGGAGTCGAAGTGAGAGTTAATGTTAAGGACGACCATAATAAAACTCCAATTTATTACGCTGCATTAAAGTCAAACTATGAAATGGTATATCAATTGATTGCCAGCGGTGCTTACTTAAATTCCAGTCATGATGATACTGAGAGAAATAACCATGATGATGATGAATATGACTCTGATGTTGATGATCCCTCAATTGGAGATACTATCCTTCTGGCTGCGTTAGCGAATAATAATTGTCGTTTAGTTGAATTACTTGTAAATCGGGGAGCTGAAATTAATACTCCTAACAAGGCTGGAACAACACCCTTATCAAAGGCTGTGTATAAAGGTTATTATGACATTGTAAAATTTTTGATACAAAAAAAAGCTGACTGCAACTGGTATAATGAAAATGGCGAAAATCTACTACATGTGGCATGCAGAGAGGGTTTTATTGATATTACAATTTTGCTAATATCTAACAAGGTTGATATTAACAAAAGGAATAAAAATAATGAAACACCGATTTTTGTAGCTTCAGACAAAAATCATTATGAAATTGTCAGATTGTTTATCGAACATGGTGCAGACATAAATGTGGAGACCCTATATAATGAAACGCCTTTGTCAATAGCAATTAAAAACAATCATAAAAGAATAGTGAAGATCTTAAGAAAAAATGGAGCTATTGAGAGTTTCGTAAACAACATTGCACCAAAAAATGAAACTGAAGAGCTGAGTCTTTATGTGAGATATTTATATTCTGAACAAAATGTGTCTGATTAGGTTCTACTGACAAATTTTAAAAACGTTACTTTAATACTGTAATTGGTTGTTAGTTATTAACGGCAATTAAATTATTTACAAATATGTAAGTTTCTACCAAAGAAGGTTTTTGAAAAGGGGTTTATAAATTGATATTTATATTTGAAAATAAATTGCTTATTATTTTAATAAATTCAATGAGTTATTGAATGAACAACTCTCTAAACAAAACAACAACACCACAGCATGAATTGATATTTCAACTACATAACATTATTCAGAGTAAAATTTCTTTTAGTTTTGTTCATATATGTATCATTATCTAATGGATCGCCTTACTCTTGCCTTAACCTTTACAAAAGTAATAAAGGAATAGTTAAGAATTTGTCTATTGCTTTTCTGTAGTTTCAGAGGATAATAAAAATAAAATACTTCATAAAAATTACTAAATTTAAAATTACCATTTTACTAAAATATTTTTAAACCTTCACCTTCTTTTTACGAGTATAATTTACACTCCCGGTGTTTCTTTCATTATATTTAATTGTGTGAAATTGGAAAATTTAAAGGCGTTGGTCAGAATTTATTTGCAAACACACAAAAGACTTTTTTTTTTGCAGAAAAAAATTTAAGAAACCTTAACTGATCAGGAAATATAAGGAAAACTTGGAGTCCTTGTTCAATTGTTAAAGTTGAATAAATAAATTCGTATAATTATCAGGTCCGTTGCTTTCATGTACGTGGACTAATAAATTTTGTTGATTGAATTTTAATTTCAAATTATTTTTGTTTTTTTGGGCATTTTGAAAATTTTCATGTTTTTTGAATTAAAAATAAGAAAAACAATTTCATATGTGAGCATATTAAGTTGAGATTTATTTATGAATTTAACAGCTACACATACACAGTGTAATAGAGTCTTATAAATCAATGCTTATTCTATGGAAAACTTTTAAACAATATCAGAAAATTTCAGTTCATTTTCTAATCAAAATTTTTTTTTTTTTATAATCAAACTTAATTCAGTCTTAATTCAATATGTTTACTGTGGATTATGTCAAGCAAATTAGTTCGATTATAAATTATTCAGGAGTGCACAAAAAGTAGAATAGGAAAAAATTTTTTGTAGACTTTGCGTGTTATTTGGTAGCATGTCTATCTAATCATAAAAATATTTTATTTTCTGCTGTCCAGCCGTCCTACTGTTTTATAAATTATAATCTTTCAATATTTTTCATTGCAAAATGAATTTTTCAGTAACAAATTAAAGGCACTTCTATAGCTATACAACTACAATTTAGAAGAATTTCATGTTTTGACCAAAAATTGTATGAAAAACCTTATTAGCATAACTATTATATTTGTAACCTATAACGTAGTAACTCTTGTATTTTCTTAACTTGATTACCTCTTGTATCCCTGAACCTAAATAATAATAACAATAAAATGTCTAAAAAAAATCCATATGAAATAATCTTGGTAATTTTATGAAATATGTTTAATCCTGTTACAAGTTGATCTGTATTTTTGTATGCAATTATGTTATGACATAGTTTTAACGTATGTTGTGTATAATGCAACATACTCTATGCAAGTATATTATGTTTCTCTTATTATATATACATACAAATATTTTTATTAAAATGTTTTATAATTTTGCTTTTACAACTAGCTAAATGTAATTTTATTTTTAATTTGAGCAATAATATTATAGTTGCTGCATATTATAGCCACTGTAATATATAAATAATATTATGTATATGTACAGAATGCAACATCATATAGTGTGGAAAACTATCCCTTCAAACATTTCTAAATCAAGAGCTTAAAATCTATAAAATTAATGAAATTAAGTGAATACAAAAATTTTAAACTAAATATTAAAATTTTTGAGTTTAAGTTCGTGAGAAATTAAGGAACAATTAATATTTATATCAGATAATTAAAAAGAAATTTCAGAAACTTACTCTTTTGGAACCTTATTCAAAGATATGGATGCTTCTTTCTCTGACGAAAATCTACCTTAATTTCCATTTTTTCTCTCAACTGATTATACTAAACATTTTTTTTAATTTTGAAACAATTCGTGACTTCAATAATGCTTTAAAAAAGATTTAAGTAGGGTATTAATACGGTTGTAGTACCGTCTCAGAGCTTTCAATACCTTTACATTGTACAAAAAACTGCTATAGCTTTGGATACATTTTGGAATACAATTTTTACAATAACAATACGTACTTTGATGTTTGCCGGAAAATTTCAATTTAAAGTTCTGTGCAAATGTTCATTTTTATAAAACGTTACCACATCATTAAAAACATAGTTTTTTTATGCTGCATTTTGGGAAAACACTTAATAACTAGCATTTTATTGCTGAAAATACATGCTACTTGGTTATTTCTTGCAATATTTATTTTCCACTACGTATAGAGCGCATTTTGGAAAAATGTAGAAAGTCAAAAGCTTTTACTAAACTTTTTGGAATGTGATACGGAATTTTTTATTATTTTTGAATCAAATCAAACAATGTTCCTAACTATTGAACGAAACTTAGGGTTTTTGAAACTAGTTTATTGTCACTTTACTTGATAAATGATTTTATTTTGTATATAAACGCCGTAATAGCTGCCAAATTTGAAATAATATTGTAGAATAAAAATTTTTCAAAATTGCTAAATGGGTAATCATAAATATTCTATAGTTATTATACAAATTAGAGAGAAATTTAATTAAATTGAACGGCTCACAAGAGAATTTTCTACATATGATGACCACAAATATAATAATATTGAAACAAAAAAAAAAAAAAATAAAAAAAACAAAAGAAAAGATGTAAAAAAGAGATAGGAAAATTGTATTTGTTTCTCTCTTGTGAATCCTTTTTACTTACAATAAGTTTTTAAGCATTATTTTTTGTGTTTATTTTTCAACAAATTTAAATTTGTTATACTACGTCTTGTGTCTTCTATACATAACTTTCTCAAAATGTATAAATCTATATGTATATATTATGTAGCCAATAATATAAAACTAATATAAATTTATAAAGTAGATATACATATTTTACATATCATAAGAATTTTGAATTTATTTTTAGTTTTTGATTATGTATTTTACATTTTGTTTTTTATAATACCAAAAAAACGTTTTAATTAAATATTTTTTAACCAGAGCTTGAAATATTTTTTTATATAATTGTTGCCAAAGGAGAAGCAAAATAATAAATTAAATATTTTTATTATTATTATATTTTGCATAATATATAAATGTTAGATTATAATGAAAAGATGCTATAAGACACACACATACATGCAGATCTTGTATGTATAATATGTCTTTCAAATATAAATCTAAAAAAGAATGTTATGAAAAACCTGAAGGATTTTATTACATAATAAATTTGGACTTAGTGATTTGAAATTCTTTTTATTTGGTTTTTGTGTTTTCCTTTTTTGGAAATTTTAATTATTTTTTATCGCATATTAAAATAAATTTCTTTTTGAAAGGATCGAAAGATGAATATGAACTTTTGCTACTCGTATTATATTAAAAATAATAACTTAAAATAATTTAAATTTCGAATTTATAAAATTTATTTTAATATTAATTTAAAAAAAACTTATTGCTGATAAACCCTTAAATTTAAATTCCTGGCTAGAATTTTATATCTGAAATTATTCGCTGTACAACATTCTTTATTAATAGCTTGACAATATTGCCTGTTACAATTTGTGAGTACGTACGAGTACTTACATAAAAATGTCCTATGGTTTTGTTTTATAGAAATCTTGTTTTATTAAATTTAAAAAATTTTGAAATTAAAGAATGAATGTATTTAACTGGACTACTTCTCTTAACTACTTCTTTGTGCAAGTTTGGTGTAACCATACTTAGAAGCTTTATACACTAAACATGTTACATTCTTAAATGAAATTTACTCAAAATTATATTTCACTTATATTCATCATAAATTTTAGAAAAAAAAATTACAAATGATTAATGAATTCCTTCTTGAAATTTCTGTTAAAGGTTTCATCTTTCGATATTATTCTTGATTGACTAAAACATTTATATACGTACTTTCTATTTCTAATAAGAAACATTTTAGTGTAAATATATTTTGTATTTTTTACATTTTTATTGAAACGAATATAAATTCTAGAATTCGTGGTATTTTTGTTTTCTGTAGCTACCTACACATAAACAAAATTGCACGTCTGTTAAGAAAAACTCTAAAATATTTCTATTTTTTGTTTTTTTTTTTTCAATGTCTACATGTGTACGTACATGTGTCAAAAAAAAACCAATAAAAGTCTTATTGCATAGTTGTGTCCTAAGTTTTAACATAACGTTTGATTTCCTATATAAAAAAACATAAGTATGTCTGAGTAACGTACAATAAAATGGAAATCCTATTCTAAAATAAGAATATTGAAAATTGAAAATTCTTCATTCAAATTGCCAGCAATATACATATGTGTGTAATGTAATGTAAGCCAGTTCGCTTCCACAACTAATATTGTTATATGAACAAAAGTTTGTTTCTGATTTAATTCATGAATTTACCCGTCAATTAAAAAAAGAAATTTAACAATTTAAAATTGAAAAAAGTTACAGGCGAAACGTTTATTAAATAATCCAGAATAATATGTTGGTATGCGCTGGTTTATCCTATTATAGTATTCGATTTTGAATTAATAACGATTTCACATTCGGATTGTGTTTACAAGGTAAAGTCTGTATAATGTATTAATATATTTTTTGAAATCTAAATAATCAAAAAAAAGGTAGATGAAAGTGAGAAATGCATCGGAACTGAGATAATTCCACATTACAACCAACTGAAACTATTTGTTAACATTTTGAGGAAAAATTTTTTATTCTCCTTAAGTTCAGCATCATTCATAATGCGACGGATCCCACTATACTGCTATCGAGGCATTTGTTGAACTGCAACCATTTAACTCCTTCTTGTGCAGGAGACTCAGTTAACGGCACTTAAAGAGTTTTCGTCAAATTCCATCTCATTCTAGTGGTAGCTTTGTCGGATGTCTGTCTTCCGCGAGAAACCTTCGGTGGTGAATATGAAGTGGTGTTTCTCGATGGGGTGGTTCAGTTTTCGATGTTGGTCCTGGTGTATGGTACACTAATTAGTCCAAAACGAAGTTGGAGGTAAATTGG